TGGTAGGTTGGGGGTTAAAGGGTAGGGTGGGGTGTGAGAGAAAGGGGTATATGGGGGTGGACAGGAGTGGGGATGGGGGACTGGGGCATGCGTGGAAGATGGAATGTAGAGACTAGAGAGAATGAGAATTTTCTTTCGGAAGCAATCGGACATTATTTTCCTCCAATTGAAGGAAAATATTTTCCTTCCACTTATGTTTCCAAACACAGGAAAATAAAATTAAAACTTTTCTGGAAAATATCCCCCCCCAACCAAACACACCCTTATATAATTCTCTGGTTCCGACATTTCATAGTCTGACTCTCTCGGGTTTTCCTCCTTTCGACTCAATTCTTCATCTCTCTATGTTGCAATTTTTTTCTTTGTTTTGAGTTCTGATGCTTAGCTGTATTTTGTTTGAAGCACTATAAAACGTATTCCACTCTATTAATGTTTGGTTAGCAAGCTTTAGCTATGTTTTTATTCTTTTTCAATTCTTGGGCATTGTATTCATAATTCTTCTCTACTCTTTCATTCTCTATTTGATAAAACTAGTGTGTTTCTGTGTGTGTCTAGGATCTTACAATCTGTGTTACGACCTTATGCTTTACAATCTTAAGGTCTTTGCCCAATCCTGCATAGGATCTCGCATTTGACTACCTAGATGCAACGGAAGAAATATCTTAGATTTGATGCATTTTGTAAATGCATACTTATCAATGTATGTGTGAGATTAAAATTATTAATATTAGACTATTAGCAAAACCACTAAAGAATTGAGGTTACAAATGAGCATGTTAACAAATATGTGCGAGCTTTCAAACCAAATAACGTATTGCTTGAGTTTGGTTTGTAAAAACTGTTCATCTTGATAGGTAAGTTGACTAAGTTCAAAGTCTTAAGTTTCCAAACAAATTACAAACATTTTTGTCTAACCAAGACACAAAGATCACGTAAAGTGTTCTGTTCTTTGAAGACCCTTAAAGAGAACCTTAATATGATAGCATGTGAAATAAAGATAGGTACTCTAGGGTGAACACGAATTGCTTGTTCAATTGGACTAAATTTCAGTATCATTAAGTTCCGTTCAATACCATTAAGGTCAGTATTATTGAGCTCACAATAACAATACCACAATCAGTTCAGTATCATTCATTTCCATTTAGTAACTTTTAGTTTGGTTCAGTTTCATTCAGCTTTACTCAACAGGCATGACGGCTCAGGTCCATCCTATTCAACTGAACTGTTGAAACTTTTTTCAAAGTAATTATGGTTTATGTTTTTTTACAATAAACAAAATTATGGCATGAGTAGTAATAAAAGGGGGTGTCATTCTTTTTGAAAAAAAGCATAGTCTGGAATTCTGTATGGTTCACAGAATGAAAATAAAGGGCATATACGTACAAACATATATAAAGCCTATTCCTTGGTTTCTATAGTTAACATATGATAGAATTTAGGATGGGATATGGACAACTGGATTGAGCAATAAGACACTTGGGCTGAACCACATTAAAAGATTGAATTCAATCAATTAGTTAGTTCAACTCAAGAACTTATATACCGATTATTTTACTCTTGGACTTCCGATGTGGGATGCACTCTAACACTCCCCCTCAAGTGGACAACCGGGCCATTTTGAATCTAACCGGTTAACCACTTGCAAATGAACTCCTATTCCCTTTTTTTTAGCGTCAACACCTAAAGGACCACGAGCCGTTGGGTATTGACTTCCAGACGAGCAATCGTGTTAAACGGGCCACAGGCCGTTGGATACATACTCCATACGGACAACTGGGCTAAAGACTAACGGGCCGCCAGGAATGAATGTCTAGATGGACACCTTGACAAACAAGGTGGGCCAAAACCTGCTCTGATACCATGATAGAATTTAGGATGGGATATGGACAACTGGATTGAGCAATAAGACACTTGGGCTGAACCATATTAAAAGATTGAATTCAATCAATTAGTTAGTTCAACTCAAGAACTTATATACCGATTATTTTACTCTTGGACTTCCAATGTGGGATGCACTCTAACAACATAAAAAAACAGTTAATACCAATTGATCAATGGGGAAATCCATATCATTTTTCATTCATTACCAATTTTGTGAGCCAAACATGTTAAATTAAAAGCACCCTTTCATGATTATTGGATCACTATAGGTATTCTCATCTAATCTACTCCAAAAAGTCTTATGCAATTATTAATTTTTGGCAAGCATTTAACATTTTGAAGAGGTTAGCTCCAAAAGAATTTGGGGTGAACATCCACTATATGACATGTATATATTACTCGAAAGGAAAAAAATATTTGTTTCAATAGATGCAGATGCAACTTATGTGGCTATGCCAATTGTCAATATTCTAAATCATACCTGGTCTGGATGTTTGCTGCAGCATCTGAATTTTCAGTATCCGAATCAGAACTCGAATCAGAACTTGAATCATCTGTAGCTAGATCTCTAGATTCTATAGATTTCTCTAATGCTAAAGTCAATTTTTTTATGATAGTTGGTGAACAACAGCAACACTCCCAACCAGATGATTTAATTCCTGACAAAAGTTCCTTGCCGAGATTCCTTTGTATGCATAAACTACAGAATAATGCTTTGCACAGCCTACAACTTAACAAATCACTGCTCCGTCCGCACCATCTACAGTAGCACTCTGAGCAATCAACATCCTGCAAACCGTGTAAGGAAGACATACACAATATGAAAATTGTGAGACTGATGCTGGAAATCACACACCACATCATAAGATACACTCTTACCTTCATCTTTGCTACCATCAAGGTTTTGCAATCCATACAGACAATAACATCCAAAAGTGGATGTCGATGTACTTTGTTAGTAAGCTTATCACAAGCAGTGCAACGAAAGGTTTTGTTCTCATTCATCACAGGAAGAGAATCTGAAGGCAACATATCCACTTTATAACCTTCTGAATTCCATTGATCCATCGTCGTACTCAAATCACATGCTGGAGAAGATCTATCAGCAGCAAGATCTTCGTCTTCCCCCTCAGAATCTACAATAATGACCTGACGCTTTCTATTTTCAGCATCAGATTCATCAGTTTCAAGCTGACGTTTCAACCCTCTCGCATCAACAACTGAAGAGTCATCGTTGCATTTTTCCTTGCCCATCACAAAAACACTAGATCCGTGTGATTGGGTTTCCAAATCTTGATCAGAGCTATAACGTTGGTCACAGTCAGTGACTTGGTCTGTTGTTTCCTGGTGGGGAAGGGAGGGAGAAGGAATAGCAATCAGCAGAAAAGTTACAGACAGCTAAATGTATATACACAAAAAGGTATATATTGCTATTAAACATGATTCCCCAGTGCAGAACCAGACACATGAAAGCTCAAATTCGATGACAGTAGGTGAACAATATCAAAAGTAAATCACTTCACTGAAAAACAAATGTTATCTCCAAATCAACGGTGAGATACTTACAGATTTCCGCCTGTTTCTATTCCTTTTCAGACGTCTCTGAAGTTTCTTATCAATTTTGACATCGTCTTCCTCCATGACCTGTCAATAAAAATTGGTATTAGCAGATTACATTCAGTGAAATACAATACCAATCAATAATACAACTTGATGAGTGGAACTGTGGAAGCATTGGGGGATGAGATCAACCACTAAATAATAAGAGGCCTTGCACAATAGCAACAGAAAAGATTCAATAAGGCATAAAAATATAAAGAAAATGTATATCCAAGTGAAAAAATAAAAAGAAAAGAAGGATATAGTACACGAAGAATGAACAGGTAACAAAATCATCTGTGTGAAAATTGAAAAAATAAAAAAGGAAAAGTTGTAGAAGATACCATTTACAGACCTTCCTAAATTTTCTCTTCTGCTCTTCAGATAGATCGGTAATAATGACATTAACTGGATCATCATCAATATCATCAATCTCTTCAACCTGAGAAAAGTATACAAATAGGCCCTTGAAAAACTTTAAACACATGCCAAGGTGACTGAAGAAAAAATATCCAAATGTCTCCACTTTAAAAGTAGTCATGGGAGTACAAGGACATGAAAAAGAAATATTATCACAGTTTTCCATTCATAAATTGATTAGAACTAAATGCCAATATTTAGTTTATATACTCTTCTTTTGCCATCATGTTAATCAACTTGTTAGTCATGGTTTGAATTACCATAAATAGCATTCAAGCATTCAACAATTAGGTAACGATGACAAGAGTGCATCAAACACAATGATAAAGCCATAAAGCATGAGTTCTCAAACAAACAAAACAATGAAGTATGCATTATACTGGCAGTGGAATATGGCAATATGATGCTATTGCTTTTACCTCATCTACTCCGGCAAACTTTAGACCCAGCTCAGCAGCTTGCTGTGGGGTACTAGCCAGGTAAACAGAAGCCCACTGCTTGCTTCCAAATGAGACATTATCCAAAGATGACTTATCAGAGCACATTTTGTTGAACGAAGACCAATCTACTCCTGTGTCCAATTCTTCATTGCTACCATTTCCAGTAAGTTTTCTACTTAAAAACCCACTAGCCCCTTCTTCTAGAATTTTGCCATGTTTTCTGTACCAAACAGTTTCTCCATTGGATGAGAACACACAATTTAATCATCAGCAACACAAACACAGACACTCCATCAGTCCCAAAATGAAGATTACACTTTGACTTCAAGGAGTTTAAGAAAAGTGTTGAAAGGTGAAGGGTGCATGGTGAAAAGTGAAAGATGTGTGGTTAAATTTATCTAGAAGAGAGGGAAATTATAAGGGTCACATATTCATTTTCTAAAAGGGAAAAACAAAAGTGTGAACTCCATCTTGGGACATTAAGAAAAAGAAAGTGTAAATATCATCTTGGGACAAAAGGAGTATGTGTGTAGACAAACACACACATACTCCCACCATTTGTTTTTACTTACTCATTCACAACTCACACGGTCAAACTTCACCCTCTTTCTTTGCATATTTCCATTACCCATTTGATATAATAATACAGTCATGTCACCTCTAGTTTTTTACAATTTTTATGTAGTTATACATACATACATATATATGTATATATGTATATATACATATGTATATGTATATATATATATATATGATTTTACACCATTTTCCATAACTTGAAATGAAAATAATTTCTCTCCAACATCGTAAACCAAAATGAATCAAGTAAAAAAACAGGAGATTATATTAGAAATATCAGAATTCAGAAATGCCACCTTCTTACAGGTCTATTAATATCAAGATATTTCTCAGCATCAATGACAGCTTCACTAAAATCGCTTGTCGCGTGAGATCCAACCCACTGAGTTCTCCTTCTCCATGCTTCAGTGCAGCAACTATTGGGAGCTTGACTTTCAATCCACTTATATAGACTTGGAAGTTCAATTCCAGCACCATCCAGTTGCTCCTGTTGAGTTGTATTGAATAATTTTGATGTTCGCATATTGATGAAAATATGGAATCCAATACATAATTTTGACTTTCTACCACTCATGTTGCAAGGGACTGAAGTATTGGGTTTCAATAACTACATGTGTGGGGTGAATGAAACATTTTTATTTGAATTTCATCACATTTGCGTCTTTAATACATGTAACTTGAAGATACCCATTGACACAATTATTATTTAAAAAGAAAAAAATTCACATATACATGTCCCTTACATTTAATTTCTAAAGATAAAATATGGCTGTTTGCATGACTTATAAAACTTAAATGTATATATTAAGATGTTCTTGTAGTAAAAGTGTGTGGTATCCTGCACAAAAGTATTAGGCTTGGTGATTACAATCCATATTCCATAAATATCTTATAGTATCTCTCTCCTCCGAGAAAGTAGCGTAACTGCGTAAGTGAATCCACTGTAGCTTAAGGTTGCAGCTGCACCATCTTGATCAAAGAACTTCAATTCTTGATCACAGTTTACATGCATATCCTAGCACAATTCCACTGTAAGAACAAACATGCTGCATCTCCTCTATTATTAGGCATTCTACCTCTTCCTCAAAATGGGAGGCACACAAAGGCTTAGGTAAAACTTAACTTCTAGTTGATGAACATGTAAGGCAAGATTGGAATTAATCAACAGAAATTTATAATGAAATTTTGCATTAAATTCAGTTACTCCTTTTCAATCTAAAGCCATAAATGTACAATATGCTTCATATTGTTCGCAAAACATTTGAATAAAAAACACATGTAAGCTATTAATCACAAGGAGAAAAGATGGTACTGAAAAGAAGAAAATTAAAACTAAAAAAAATGTAAACAATTGGTACCAAAAGTTGAGCACTTTCTGTCTCAAGTTCATCGAGCACATTTTCCCACTCCAGTTTATATATCTTCATCTCTTCAGCAACCGCACCTTCTAACTGAACCAGCCCAAAATTAAAACATGACCAGAAGGTGTACATCAGCTTTTGTGAAGATCATCATGGGTGAAGAGACAAGTTGAACAGAATATTAAACAGATAAATATAAATGATCACACATCATCAACAGTGAGTTCTTGAGCCAGCTCTGCCCTAACATCGGCCTCCACTTTTGCCAGTGACTCTAGTTCTAGAGCCTCTTGTGCCTCTGCAGCCTAAGGAAAATGCCCCGGGATTCCGGGAACATCAACGTTGTTACAATAAGCGGGAGAATCGAATTCAGCTATTGTCAGAAGTGCCAAGTTTTTTTTTTTTTTTTTGGGGGGGGGGGGGGGGG